ATTTGGGCTTATTGCGAAGAAAAATACCCTAAAAAAGTATTTACAAAATCTCTGATTTTCAGCGTTTTAGCTTGCTGTGTTGCCAGAGTGTCATTCGTAGAATCGGGTAAAGCTAAACGAAACAATTAATTAATTATATTGTACCGTGGATGACCGAGTATCAAACTCTTTCTTCAGCTTCCAACTTTTATTTACCTCGGTATAAGTTTAAAGGCGGAACAGGAACAAACTAACTTCAAAATGACCGTCAACTTCACAAACAATAACAATAACAGACGGAAAACTCGCTCTTCCGACTCGCGGGGTCCAACCACTTCTGCACCCGGTCGCTCCTGTCACTCCCCCCGTCTGGTTCTCGTCGTCACTTATAGTTTCCTCCAGGTAACCCAGATGGTTCTCGAAATCTCCAGAACAGGTGCGAAACTTCCCGCTTGTCAATGTCATATTTGACAGTAAATGGGGCCCAAATGGGGCTCCCATTTACTGAAATACCATGAATTTCGATCCCCCATTCCAAACGTGAGTACCCCAGGCCATTTCCGCTACACTGCCCCCCTTCTAAACCCTGATCGCCCCGATTAGGTAATTCCTGGATCATGGTTATATCTGGCCAAACGGTGAATGTGGACAACTTTAAATTTTGCCTGAGGGCTCTTCTGATTGTTCATCAACAGTTCAACGCCGCCGAGGTCGCGCGGCTTTTCGCTGGTGTTCACTTGGCGCACCACGTTGTCCATCCATTGCATCAGCGTCCTCACCAGGTTGAAGAACTTGAACAGATTGCCAGTAACGGCCAGTTTTCCTCTGCGCTGCTCGCAAACCATTTTCAAACTGGCTCACGCAGACACCACTTCTTGTTCTCTATTTGTGATCTCTTTAGCTTTGTCGCCCGCATAGCTGGCTTGAATTGAAGCTTGACCGATTCCTCTTGGATCTGTTGCACTTGGTTCTGAAGCGTCTGCAGGTCTTGCATGAAGTTCTGATGTTTGCGCTGCAGCGTTCAAACAGAACCAGCATCTTGGCCCAGTTCATGAGAAGAGGCCACCACTTCACGATCAGCTATCCACTGCTCCAAGTCGCCAACGACTCTGTTGAACAGGAAGAGCTGCAAAGCCTCATCCAGCTTAGCGCGTCGTTCCTGCTCCAAATCCTTCAGTCCTGCCTATAGCTTGTCCAGTTGCGACTGTTTAACCGCGACCTGCTCGGCCACAGGATGTCCTTCAGCCGACAGGGTCTTTACAGTTACACCCAGTCCTCTGATGGTGTCCGCATAAGCTTCAACGGCCGCTTCCAGGCTTTCGTACTTCTTCATGAAGTTCCTGGCGCTTGTCTCATTTTTGCGCCGATCTTCCACCATCATGTAGAGCTCCTGCTCGCTCATCCAGCTCTCGGCCTCATTGGCATCGAACAGATACTGCTGCGCCCGCTCGTTCCTCA